AAACAAATCCATCATTTAGACGTTTTTAACTTCAAGCTTTTGGTTCAAATTTGAGTCTTCTATCCATATCAGGAGAGAAATATGGACAGATTAAGCACTGTTTACAAGAGAAACCTATTCTAAACAAACATGTCAGTGGATATGGTGTGAGAGGACAACAGGTTATGTATATTTTCACTGGAAGAAGCATGGTTATGGAATCCACAACTTTTCACTTCACAGAACTTTAAATGATGGACTGGAATTGTGTGGATTATTGTGATGTTTTTATCAACTGCTTGGACTCTGATGGCACCCATTCACTTAGTGAGCAAGTGATGTAATGCTAAATTTCTCCAAATCTGTGCCAAAGAAGAAACAAACTACATCTACATCTTGGATGGCCGCTGAGTGAGTAACTGTTCAGCAATTTTTCATTTGTGGGTGTACGTCCTTTAAGAAACAGCTTAGCATATTGAGTAACTTTAATTTTCAGTGAGAAACTGGTCTCAGATTGTGTGTATGTGCCTACATGCATCAAAATCAAAATAAATTTAAAAAATGTTCTTTTTCTCTTTAGATTCATCTCTTTGTGTGTAATAAGGAAGAGGATATTAAGACTGCATTTGCTGCAGGAGCAACAGGAGTCATGACTGATTATCCCACCCTGTTATCAAACTATATTAGAAGACACACACAAGACACGTGATCAAACACAAATACACAATGTACTTGACCCTGGTCCAGTCAAACACACACACACACACACACACACACACACTGTACAAATGCTGTTTGCCTTTAAACATACAGCCAAGTTTTATATCAATCCCATTATTAGCTGATCAGCACTGGCATAGTGTTCACATAAAACTTGGTTTATGACATTCTTCATGGGACATTTCGTGAGTATGAAAACACATGAGATTAAATAGAACTCATATATTCTACAAGTGGACTGTCTTCTTTGCTCCGTTCATTATTATCCCACCATGTTCACAGCATGTTTATTGTGGTTTTCAGTCGGTCAGCGTCAGTTTAGCGCCTCCCTACCTATGTTTGCAAACAAACATTATCCAACTTCTTTGAGGCCGTGCAAAGTCCATCAGCTGTGCTCAGCAGGGGATCAGTAGACATCAAAGACTGAATTACACGGTCCTTTTGAAAATCTTCTTTAGATACAAAAATGCATGATCTTTCAGTGAACCATTTGATGTCACACAGAACCGCGGCGGCTTTGATTACACAGTGAAGTATTTTCAAATCATCTGCGTGACTTAATTGTCATGCAAACAACCAGAGGACCCAAAATCGCCACTTCTAGAGAAGCGATAAGAGACGAAGATAACCAGAACACGAGGGCTTTGTTGTTTCTGCTCGCTGAAACGTTCGCGCAACTGTAAAGTTCAGGTGACTTCAAACGCACGGGAAGAGCGCCTCTGATTGGCTGACCTATATTTCCAGACGTCGCTGTCTGGGTTCTGATTGGTCAGCTACGGTATGTTTTGCGCCACATGACATATAAGAAACTTCCTCATAAAATACAGTAAACAAATCCACGGATTATATTCGGCTGCGACGTATTGAGCGCGCTGGCTTGCTTGAGTTTTGGGAATTACGAAGCTTTCTGTTGACATCACACGGTTTCGGCAGTAAAGCAGGTCGACAGACGGGGGGGGACAAAGGAGGGAGTTGTGGGGGAAGCGCCGCGCGCCGCACGTTTGTTTGGTTTAGTGCGCTTGATTAGTGAACGCTCAGGCTTCACGCCGTTGAGTTGTGCAGGCTTCTCTTCTGGCGGCAATACTGCGACCAGCGCTTGTCTGGAAGAAATCGTTTATATTTAGGTGAGTCCCTTTTCATTGTGTCAGATGGAGCAAGGAGGTTAGAAGCAATTCTAATCTGAAACGGCTCTACTCGTGCTTGTAGAGCCTGTACGCTATGGTGAAACTGTTACTTGTATATTTAGAGGGTTTTATTTCGAAACGTGAATAAAGGTGACTGGCATGCATTCGCTAGTTCTGTTTTCTATCAGTGAAGGGGGAATGATTCGATTCCGCGAATCGGTTCTTTCGAACAGTTCATTTCAAAAACGATTTGGCGGTCATTTTAAGCTGTGACGTTATGACCCAGGGGGTCATAAAACCGGTTTACCAAATTAACCAGGCTTATTCCAGTTCGTCTGACTAATTTTGGTTTCATAAAGCACATTTACCATAGCTCACGCTCAGTCACTCTGGCAATGTATGCTGGGAACTAACCTGGTCCGCGGCAGGCTGACTGTCAGGCTGAGCTGCGCTCCTCTAACACGGACCAATAGGAACGCGTTGATATTACGGCGCGGACTCTCTCTCTCACACAATTATTTGACGTTATTATCAGTCCAAAAATTTTTTTTAAAGTATACAGAAAACATTTGAATAGACTGCTACATGCGCATTCGGTTGATCAGCAGTTTCTAGCCATGCAGCCGTTCTCTCTGGTTTTATGACAGCTGTACTCTATGGTTATTAGTAAAACAGTACACTATAAAATTGCTCTTTAAAGCTCTAATAATACTCAATTAAAAGTTTAAATCACTAAATTAAAAATGAAAATAAATCATATAAAACAGACTATATTTTACAAGATAAGAGGAATGCACATTAACTAATTTGAGCTAGTAATTAGGGCTGTATTAGCTAGCTAACATTTGATTTACAGTTACTGCTATCATAAAAATACACTTATTTGTAGGATTAAAATGTCACATTTAATGTCCAACAACAAATATTTTAGCAGAATGCATATTTTATTCAGAATTATTGCGCTATTGTTCCATCTGTTTATCGCGCATGCGCGCAGCAGCGCTCGTTCACTCACGTGAGCCTCGCGCACTCCTGACAGCAAAATGGATATATTTGCATGACTTTCTAACATTTACAGATTCAAAATATACCTGTGACATGTCAGTTATGCAGTGAGGAAAACACAACGTCTCAAATGCATTAAACAGCACAGATATATTCGCTGTTTGTCATGGTGGATCGATTTGATCCATGATCGACCTTAAGGGCTAAAACTTAAGAATAATTTAATTTTACCTTTTAAATAATACTCAAATAAATTTACATATATTGGCCAACGTTTGGCTCAGAGTACTTTTTATAAAATCAACATATAGTGAAGTAAATTATTTTCCACTAAATTGTATTTGTAACATTTTGTGTTATTCTGCTAATTATGTATTTAATTTTTGCCCCATCAGTCAAATCCTCGTTACTCCAAATTTTACTATCAACGTTCTCGGCTCATTACGAATCGGTTTTGTAAACCGGTTCAACCGAATCGTTGAACGCACCCGACTCATACGAACGATTCTTTCACGGTTTTCCGTCTGCATTGTGGGCCGTGCTGTAACGATGTAGTCCATATGAACTGAAACTAGAAACGTGAGCGTGCCTGTGAACATTTTGTAACTATTAAAGTATGTTATAACCCTGTATTATATCTAAAGCTGTATTTATTACAGCATGCCATAGTTATTCATTACCTCTCACCCTTGTTTACCCTCGTGCCTGGCATGCCATATATGGGGTAACTACAGTGTGGGCAGCCAAGCAAAGTAGGTCATGTGGAAGTTTCCTTTTTTCCTGCTATATCTCTGAAACAGGATACAATATTTGCAGCGATGTGAAAATGCTTTTCAAATGCACAAAGGAAAAGATTGCCATAAGTGTCACGTCCAGCATGCATAACGTCTCAAAGCATTTAGTTTGCTAAATCAACATTATTTAGCATATTCATGTTAGTCAACATTAATAGCTGACGATGTCAATGCCATGCTTTCTAACGATGCATTTGGCAACCCCGCTAGGAGCTGTTTTGGCTGTCAAAGCTGCTTTGTAGCCTTTCCCTCAAGTTTTCATGGTCATATTTAGACGTGAGAAGCAACAGCAAAATTTGTTATCCTTGCAGATATGATCTGACACCGTTTTTGATTGTGTGTGTTATTCAAAGACATGGTGAAGCAGACCAAGGCCAAAACTTTCCAGGCCTATCTGGACTCCTGTCACCGCCGCTACAGCTGCGTCCACTGCCGTGCACACCTGGCCAACCATGATGACCTAATTTCTAAGGTGAGAGTTCCTTTGTCTGACTTTTGTGGCACATTTACAGCTAGATTTGTTAATTGTGAGGCTGTTTGCATTAAAGACTCCCGTGTCTGTTTATTTTCAGTCATTTCAAGGCAGTCAAGGACGTGCCTACCTGTTCAATTCTGTGTGAGTATCACTTCTGGAAAAAAATCTCAGAGATTGAATCACATTGTGATGTAAGAAATAGTTGGTTTAACTGTCATTTTGTGATTTCAGGGTGAACGTGGGTTGTGGCCCAGCAGAAGAAAGGCTGCTGCTGACCGGTCTTCATGCTGTGGCTGATATTTACTGCGAGAATTGCCACACCACACTGGGCTGGAAATATGTAAGCATGCTTCATTTTAATAAGAAATGTAGTAGGACACATTTTTTTGCCAAAATGGCTTTATTTGTATCACTACCCTGCAGTCTGATTGCAATTCCCCCCCCCCATCTTTCTCCTTTCTTCTACAGGAGCAGGCATTTGAGTTAAGTCAGAAGTATAAGGAGGGGAAGTTTATTATTGAATTATCTCACATGATTAAGGATAATGGCTGGGGATGAAACATTCAGCCTTTGCTTTAACTTTGTCACCGCTTGCAGCTTCTCCAAGAACGTCACAAGATGCTTTCTTTTATTTATATATATATATACCTTTTTCCACACTTGTATCCCAATGCACCAGTTTTTAAAGGGAGGGGAGGGGGTCTTGGGTGATTGGTTTGTGTGTGTTTGTGCCTTTTATATGTGTTTGGAGGTGTGCTTGTGTGTGAGGCATGCTTGAAAGAAACTGTGCTAAAATGATGAACTACTTAAATCCAGTTTCAAAGAATTCTTAATTTATTTGGGGGGGGGGGGGGGGGGGGGGA